GGTCTCGAACCCGCAGGCTCAGGCAATCCACTCACCTCAGCCTCCCAAGGCGCGGGATGACAGGCTGAGCCACCGAGCCCGGCTCATCATCTGCTTTTCAAAGGAAATAATAACACCTGCTAAAATCCCCTGCCCAGAGAGGACACTTTTTCTAGGAAGGTGTTCCTATACTCCTTTTGTCAACCTCCAGATGACCAAAACTAAAAAGGTTTTTCCATTTGCTTCTTCCAAAATTATAATTTATTACATAGCATTTACAACTTGAAAAGGAACCCCAGAATATTTTCATGAACAATGACGAGGAGAGTCGAGCTGCTGTAGGAAGGGCCCCACTTTCTCTGTGGGGTGTTGGGACCCTGGATTAATCCACCAGCCAGTCGTGTGGGGCTGGCCAGCCCCTCCCAAGCGCTCCTGGCCTCACAGGGCTGCGTTTGGAAAGACGTGGGGCCCAAGCACCTGGTCTGTTGGATTCTGGCTTTCTGGTTCAGGGTGGTGTTTGCGGACACTACCCCCAGGAAGACGGCTCACGGAGGTCACCTCTGGATGGGGGGCTAGGGGTCCAACACGGGCTCTGCCACTCACCCCCCAGGCCTCAGGAATACCAAGAGTCAGCACCTGTGGTCGGTGGTGGTGGCGCTGAAGATGGGCGTGGTCCTCAGATTCTTTTACAGAAAAACACAGAGGGGCCGACCAGGAGGACCACTGTCGGGCCATGAGAGCCTGGACTCCTAAGTTCCACGACAAGGGCTAGTCACCGTCTACCCACTACTCATCAGAGCAGCCAGTTGGCATCCCGAGGCTGGAGATCAACCCTTTTGGGGTGAGGCACTGCCGGGGTTCTCTTTGGGACACACACAGGCCGTTAAGCTAGCTGTGGGCACGGAGAAGAGAAATCATGAGTGACGGTCAGGGGTGAGGTGGTACCGTGGACTGAGAGTGGGCTTTGGAGTCTAAGATTCTAAGGGCCTTCCTCTCCAGGTTAAGCCCTGCCAAGGGTAGCCTCCACCAAGTTCTTTCTCAAACCCTCCCCATCTCTCATTGGGTCTAAATACTCCCCATTCCACCCGTGTCTGCTCTAGGGATGACATACAACGAAAGCATTCCATGGCTGGGCTCGGTGGCTCAGCCTGTTATCCCAGCACCTTGGGAGGCCGAGGCAAGTGGATTGCCTGAGCCCGTGGGTTTGAGACCAGCCTAGGCAACTTGGCGAGACCTCATCTCTAAAATCAATCAATCAATCAATTGGCAAACAAACAAACAAATAAGCCGGGCATGGTAGCACACGCCTGTAGTTCCGGCTACTTGGAAGGCTGAGGTGGAAGGATCGCTGAAGCCCAGCAGGCTGACGCTGGGGTGGCCGTGAGTGTGCCCCTGCACTGCAGCGTGGGCAATGGAGTGAGACTCAACTCAAAAAAAAAAAAAAAAAAAGGCATTCCACAGAGGAAGGATGGGTTCCGGAAACTTTGTGCCTGTTCGTGGAGCCCAGAGGGAGGGATTCTGTCTGCTGGGAGTGCGAGGGTCTTATCATAAGAATAGAATCCATGTTAGCACTGTTTCTCTTTGGAGTACTTCTTAGTATCTTCTTTCCAATGCCAGCATATCCTAAGGAAAGATCACCGACAATTCTGAAATGGATCCCTAACTGTCTTGGCACACAGCAGAAACTCCCTGGGTTCCTGGCTGGGGACAGAGTGGCTGGCAGGGGGGAGGCTGGGGACCCAGAGAGGAAGTTGTGGGAAAGAGTGACAGGGGGTGCACAGACGGGTGGCTGTGCTGAGGCCCTGGGGGGAGGGGGAGGCGTGGAGGAAGCCGTGCAGAGGCATGTTCTGCCCTTCCTTCCCTTGCCTTCTCAAAGCCACGTCTCTTTTTTTAGTGGCCTGTTGATATTTCAAAACGTTCAAGTCCTTCCTTGTTCCAGTGTTCTCAGCATCAGAGGGCTCCCGGGTTCACCTCGGCCTCTGCAGAGGTTCAACGCTGCCCTTCTGTTTTCAGAAATAAAGCCACACTCCGTGGGTCTCTAAGGTGCATCCTTCAGCTGTGTCTGTCCCAGACACGGGGCCTTGAGCGCCCGTGGAGCAAGCACACCTGCGGAAGCAGGGCTGGCTGGGACCTGCTGGAGCCCAGTAGCATCCCCACCCAGGAGGCCGCAGAGATCTTAGGGCTGAGTGCAGACGGGCCGACAGGCAGAATCTGCCACAGCCTCTGCCCGTGGGAGAGTGCAGGGCTTCCAGCCCACCTGCTCAGGCATGCTCTGACCCGGTGGAGGGAGGACTTTGAGGCCGGTGGGCCTCGGGAACAGAGGTTCTGGGGGTCCAGGGCCTTCGTTGCATGGTCACCCAGGTCTGGTATTTTTGAGCCTTTCTCTAGCGGAGACGATGTGAATATCCTACTGTAGCAGCTCTTTTCAGGGTACTAGAAGAATTGGGACTTTCTCTCCAAATAACAATGAGAACTTGTTCTGAGCCTTTGTGATAAGAAATGAGAAAATCCTTCCTAGAGGCGGAGGAGCAGGAAACGTCTCAACAAAAAGCTGAGATTCTCATTAAGCATTATTACGCTTTCAAATAAGCGCTTCTGCAGCCCACTCCTGGCTTTAATTCAAGTGGCTCTTAAGTCTCAGGCCATTAGTTGTGTCTTGCCGTAGAAGGAAAATCTGATCTGGGGCAGTGGCTGGACAAGCTCTTTTGTTCCCGCCCTGGCTGGCAAAGGGCTCCCTTGGTGCGGGTCACCATGCTGAGTTTTGCCACAGGCTGACTTTTGGGGCGAGTCTGATATGGGGACTCCGACGAAGAGCCACCCACCCTGCCGGTTTAGTAACTCGCCCCAGGCCCCTCCAAGGGAAAACCCAGGCCAGATGCCCTGTGCCCAAATGTCTATGGACTGTGATGTTCCAGCGAGTTTTCCAGGACTCTTTGAACAATGCAAATACCTCTTCCATGAGACAGGTGCCAAGCTAGAAGTGCAGGACGCCAGAGAGAAATTTCAGTCGTTCCCTCTTCCCTTTTTATTAACTGAAAAATAAACAAAACTGAAACCTCTTGGGAGCAGCGTTTAATGCACAGAGAAAGACAAAAGAAGCAGGGATTGCCTATATTCTGCAAGGCTTCGTGAAACATCAACACTTATTTACAGAAGGCGTGCTTGGAAGGAGCTGCAGAAGTCCTGGCTGTCCACCAAGGGGGCAGAAGCTCTGGCCTGGCCGCTGCTGCCCCTGGGGGCAGGTGGGTCAGCTCAGACCCTCTCCCTGCCTCCCGGGAGAAATGGGGGCACCCCAGTGACTGTGGCATGGGGCTACCGCGGGTGCAAGGTAGACGAGCCCAGGGCCGGCCCGGGGTTCACCAGGCCCCGCAGCTGCACCGGCTGTGGAGATTTTGACACCTGCGCTCACGTGCTCACGTTTGGGGCGACGCTCTCTGGGTCTTGCTTCCCTTCTCCCCTCTCTTCCTCGCTTTGCCTGCCCACCTTTTCCTCCTCTTCCTCTTCCCACCCATCTCGGCACTTCGCTCTCCTTCAGCAGGAGTTCCTGGTGACCCAGGGCCAGCCCCTCTGCCGGCGGTTTCCACGCAGAGCTCAGCCACAGACCCGGGCCAGCCTGGCCGTCGGCCTCTCCCTTTCCTGCTCGCTGTGGTATACCTCCCACCTGCTGCCCCTCCTGTCACAAGCTCATCCAAACCTGCGGCCACCCTCCTCTCGTTGGCCAGCGTCCCTCTCCCAGAGTCCCAGAGTCCCAGTTCTCCAAGCAGAGACCCCTCTCCTCTCGTCTCATCACGCTCCTGTCTCTCACTTGCAGACTCGGCCCAAATCCTGAGACTCTGAGCTCCCTGCCTCTGCCCTCCGCAATCCTGCCCCTGCCCCTGCCCATTTCTGTCCTTCGCACCAGCAGAAATTGCACCACTGTCTTCCTGGAGCACCAGGGCAGTGTCAGATACTTCCTCCTCCTAAAAAAAGCATCATTCATGCCTTCTGTTCTGAGAAAGAAATCACATCCACAGAGAAGGAAGCCATGTCATTTGTAGTTCACTTGGAGACTCGTGTGCCCCGTGAGTTCCACGGAAGTCCACGGCCACTCCACTCCGCACCTGCCCAGCTCGGAAGCTTCCCACCTGCCAGCCCACATCGTGGCAACCAGACCTTGACCCGCGGCAACTCTGCTCACCCCCACAATGGCTAACTGGAAGCTGTATTCTGTGCTCGGAGCAGTTGAGCTGAGACAGGATGGACCTGGTCATCTTTAATAACCAGACCGGAGTTGTGTCTACAAACGCCATTGAGAGCCCGTGGCTATTTGGGAAGCCCGAAAGGTTAGATTAGTGGTGTCTGTCGGTGATGACCTTTGAGTCTCACCTTCTTCTTTGTCTTCATTAAAAAAAAAAATTAGTTAACCAAGCAACTCAAGGCTTACCCTATCAAGCCCTTGTTATCCGTTCAATTTGGGGGAAGGTCTAATTTGCTGGTGTGTGTCTGTGTGTGTGTGCACGTGTGTGTGTGTGTGTGTGTGTGTGTGTGTGCGCGCAAATGATATTTCAGTGTGCTCTCTCTTTGTACTCCAACTCCCTCCCTCACAGAAACATGAAGGATGTTGATTGCCCTCTGTGGCACCTAACACGTTGCTCTCCACTCAACGAATATTGTCACCTGACTCCCATTCCTACCCTGGGGAGACTGGAGTCACGGAGGAATAGAACCTTTCTGCAGAATCTGGAGTGGGACTGTAATTTCACTCTGAAGCGCCCGCTTCCCAGAGGACTCTCCCATGATGGATGCCACTGTCAGGAGCCCAGATGCACACCCTCATCCATCAGCCGGAAAGTTGTGTAAGCAGCTTGCCCCGGGCCCAGCTGCCCCGCCCACCCGCTCCCCTCTGGAAAGAGATGTGTCAGGAAGCCCAGACAGCAAGGGAGACGCAGAAGGAGGGGTGAGGAGAGGGTTGGGTTCTCACAGATCCGCCTGGTGATTTTCCTTCTCGTCTTCTGAGGGCCGCGGCACGGGCTAAGGTTTGGGGTGAGAGGTTCCCTTGCTACCTGACCAGGATCTGGGGGTTGTTTGAAGACATCTGTCCTGCGAGTGTGCTGCCAGCTGGTTTTCATAGTGCACGTACATAGAAACACTCAGCTCTACCCACACACCTTTTCCTTACATAGGTACAGGTGATGTCTACGTTTCCTTTGGGATGGATGTGACCTGCCTAGGCTAAGCTCATGCTATGACATTAGTCTCCTTGGAGAGCAAGTCTGTGTTGATTCCAGCGGGAGGGGGAAGCAGAGGGCTGTTGCTAAGAGGATGTCTGAAAAACAAGGGTACTACTAGTGTGGAAAGCGTCCACCGGGCTCACGGGTAGCTGTGATGCGCTTATCGGTAGCGGCAGGCCAACGCGTTGACATTCTTGACCACATAAAAGCCCATGGTGACAGGAGGGATGACCAATGTCCGGCCGGCCCGCAGGGGGCGGGGCTTCAATTCTGGGAGGGTCCCATCGTCCACCATCACTAAGGGCTGGCCGTTCAGCTGCACTGACCTACGGTGAGGAAAAACAGTTGGTGACTCATTATTGCGTGATAAGGGAGCCACTGCGACAAAGCCTGGGTAGCCCCGGATTACTTGCCAGCCCGCCGTGCACAGGTAGCGTGTGCTGATGCTGGCTCTGCCCCAGGTTCTGACCCGCACTCTTCAATAACTCATTTAAACATCTCACAGCCCTCGGGGGTAAGCGGCTGTCATTATCTCCACCTTATTTAGAGTGGCAAGTGACTTGGAGGTCCCGCAGCCAGGATTCAAACTCGGGCAGTCAAGATCCAGAGACATATTGTTTAAATGAATGAAAAGTCTTTGTGCTGCAGGTGCTGGAAACGTCTCAAGCCTTCAAAAGCCCATCATGGCTGGGCGCAGTGGCTCAGCCTGTCACTTTGGGAGGCCGAGGTGAGAGGGTTGCCTGACCCTGGGGGTTCTTGGGAAGACCTCATCTCTACAGTAAACCACAAAAACTAGCCAGGCATGGTGGCGTGCACCTGAAGTTCCAGCTCCTTGGAAGGCTGAGGAGAAAGGATCGCCTAAGCCCAGCGGGTCGGGGCGGAGGTGGCTGGGAGCGTGCCCCTACACTCCAGCTCAGGTGACAGAGTGAGACTCCGACTCAAAAAAAAAAAAAAGCATATCCTAATATCAGCTCAGTTTGACTGAGAATGGCATTATTTTACTCATCTAGGGGTGTTTTGAAAGGGGACTGAGACGTAGCTAACAACTCTGCTTTTTCTAATTTAAGTTTTCATATTTGATATTAACAGATGTTTCTAGTTTATGACACAACAGAGTAGGCGATACCATAGCTATCTGTGATCACAATTCGCCCATCTTGCGGGCTTTTATTGACTCTGTGTGGGCAGCCACCCTCGCCCCGAGAAGCGGGACCGCGCACAGCACCCTTAGAAAAGAGAAGCCGCTTGTCGTAGGGGGACGGGAGAGATCTGCCACCCGTCCTTGGCCTACGGGGCGGAATTCAGACAGTGTCTCAGCTGCTCCTGACAGCCGAGGACCCAGGTGGAGGCTCGGTGTTACGGGTCGGTTGAAGAGGCCAGAACCAGACCACCAGCTGGAATGAGGTTGTGAGTCGCCCTCAGAAAATCAGCATAGCAGAGCCATGACTGTTTCTGGGCCTCGCCCAACCTCCAGTGTGATAACACTGCGGTGATGTCATCCAAGCTGTAGAGAATAAAATGTTATATGTCGACACAGAGGTCTTTGTTGAGCGCTCCTTCTGTGCTGCGAATGATAGGCAGGTTTAGAGAGAGATAATCAGACCCATGCCCACCAGAGCAGTGACTTCCCAGAGATAAGTCGGTTGTAAATTGCTCCCAAGGGAGAGACAGGCAGGGAGGAGTGCCAGGCCCGGCCCTACATGGATATGTCTGGGCCGGGCCCAGCTTTGACAGGCCAGAGGGAGGGCCCCTTCCTTTTGCTGGAACGGCTGGGGAATGTCTGGGCGAGCGGGAGACTCCTACCCCAAGAGCCAGGCCTGCCTCTGAAGGTGCAGGGTGGAGACCCGGGGTCCGAAGGCCAGTGTGGTCCTCGTCAAACACGCAAGGTGCATCTGCTTCCAAATGTGAGGGGCAACCCTCTCCAGGAAGACAGCCCACCCGCTGGAGGGGAAGGCAGGCTGAGGGGAGGGCTTCCCAGGAGGGTCTTTCCAGCATGTTTGCATTATTTTGGTTCGGGTAAAGTGAATATCCAACAACCAGCAGTACACACAGTCAAATGCAGGTTCAATAACACTGACAAATCCACACCCCCTCTGCTTGAAAGCCTTCCATGGCCTCTCCTGTGTAGAGAAGTAGGTGTGCACCCTTGCCTGAAGAATTAGGGACGCCCCTTCAGATTCAGACAAGCCCAGAGCATTGGCAACATTGCATTCTGGAAGAGCAAAACAAAGTGTGAGAGGCAAACCTTTCAAAATCTACACTGGCAAGGAGAGGTCGTTCTGGAGCAGTTGGTTTCTGCATGGGTTGCTGAACGGCCATTGGGTGAGGATGGGACCAGGGTCGTGGTGAGACCCTGAACTGACATCTACAGCCAGGAGCCAGGTGGGCCACTGGCTAGTCGGGCCTGGGAATCCCTCCACCTCACCACCCACAGTGTGTGCATCTGTAAGGATGCCACAGAGGCCGCGCTGCAAAGGAAATGAAGTGGAAACGACGCGGGTGCTTTGAGAGCATGGGCAGGGGCCGGCGTTTCTGTTTTTCTTCTCACGGTCCCAAGGATGGATGCACTCTCTGGTCCTCGTTCCAGCCAACTGCTCTGTGGTGCGGGCACTTCCAGGCTGCATCCTGGACGCCCTCTTCCTGCAGCACCCGGGAGCTCTCTCTAGAATTTCCTCCTTTGCTCCTGGCAGCTGTTTCCTGCTAGGGGAACTGCTCCCCTCTGCCTGCGGCCCAGATGCTGGGGTTCCCGGTGCCTCGTCCTTGGACCCCTCCCTTCCCACACAAGGCGCTCCTCCCTGGGTGCTCCTCCCCACAGAGGACTTCCATGACCACCCACAAACGTGTCTCCAGGCCAGATCCTTTTCGTGAACATACCTCCCCTCGGCTGTCCCCAGGAACTCCAAAGTCACCCTGTCCACATTCAAAATCTCAAACCCCGTCCTCATCTGTGCTGGTTTCTTAAACATCTTGGTGATGACACCACCCTGTATCCCAATAGCTGGGAGTCTTCTGAGCCTTCTCCCCCAGTTCCCATGTCTGGGCTCACTGCGTCAAAGCCATTGAATGTTTCCCAATTTGCTTTTTCTCCTCCCTCTCCTGCTATCATTTTAGGTCAGAGCTCGCCTCCTGACCTGTCTCCGTGGCATGCGGTGGCCCACTGCTGACAGCGTGCGTGGGGCATCAAACTCCCCCCTCCCCTTTAATATGGATGATGAAGCCCCCTCCAGTCGCCTCTCCGGTCCCTGCTCCCCTCGCTCCAACACCTGCCATGGATCACAGATGCCAGGCAGCACAGGGTGGGATGGGTTGGCAGCTATTGTAAGGATTTCATCCATACTTGAATGCACAAGGATCGTTTCAGAATGAAAAAAAGTACCTCTCACCTAGTTGAGGTACATATTTCATGAAAATTGTAAGCAGATACTGTCGGTATTAGAATACACAAGCTTATTTACAATGGAGTAAATATTTTTCAAATGTCAATGTGAGTCAACGCTGTGGGGATTAATGAGATACAAGTTCATTTAAAATTATTGGCTGGGCGTGGTGGCTCAGTCTGTCATCCCAGCACTTTGGGAGGCTGAGGTGAAAGGATTGCCTGAGCCCGCCAATTCGAGACCAGCCAGGGCAACAGGGTGAGACTGCATCTCTACAATAAATCAAAAAATAAGCTGAGCATGGTAGCGCGTGCCTGCAGTTCCAGCAACTTGGAAGGCTGAGACGGAAAGATCGCCGGAGCCCAGCAGGTCAAGGCTGCGGTGGCCGGGAGCGGCCACTGCACTCCAGCCTGGGTGACAGAGTGAGACTCCAACTCAAAAAAAAAAATTGTTATTCAATTCCCAATAGACATTTCTTTGGGGGAGGGTGGAGGGAGGTATCAGTTACTTTTTTCAAGAAAGAAATTTTGAAAGGACAACTACTCTAACGTGGGAAGACCATGACATTTGTTGACATTTAAAAGGAACTGTCGGTCAGGTGCAGTGGCTCAGGCCTGTAATCCCAGCATTTTGGGAGGCCAACTCCTCACTTGAGGCGAGGTGTTCAAGACCAACCTGGGCGACCTCATCCCTACAAAAAAAAAAAACAAAAAACAAAGAGCCTGGTGTGGTGGCACGCGCCTGTAGTCCCAGTTATTTGGGAGACTAAGGCAGAAGGATTGCCTGAGTCTGGGAGGTTGAGGCTGCGGTGAACCGTGGTCTCCAGTCCTGGACAACAGAGTGAGACTCCAATGCCAAAAAATTTTTTTAATTAAAAAAAGTTAAAAAATAAAAGGAGCCATCATAGTTGAAGAGCCAGGCGCCCTGGCTCAAGTATGACCAATACAATGCCTTGCCTTCCTGCTCCTGGGTTATCGTGCACAGTGCTTCCTCCACCGGTGCGAGCTAGCCTCCTCTGTTGGGCCAGCTGCAGTGGGTCCTTGCAGGGTCTTCCTAGAAGCTGCCTCCTCCGGATAAGCTTCTCTGGCTCTGGGGTGGGGGAGGGCCTTCCACGGCCCTCACCCCGCTGAGTTGCGATTTCCTTGTGGGATCCCTTGCTGGGCGTGACCATTGGTCCCAAGGAGGTGCCTGGCACACAGGAGGGCCTAAAGCCTGCCTGAATGAGTGAGTGGCCCTTTGTAGCTCTTCTGCATTTTTTTCTGATCCTCCTTGCGGAGTTTCTCAGGCTCTAAAGAGGCTCCCTGGAGGCTTGCTGAGTGTCTTTGCAGATTTCATTAAGGCGCCAATTACTCCTGTGCTCAGGGGCTTGTGGAGATAAGATCTGAATTATCACCGATTCCCACAGTCACTCACCGGATGCCTTCTCCTAACCTGACAGGAGGCCATTGATCATTGCTAGTGTTTTTCATCCTTAAAAGAGATCTATATGACCATCTCTGAGCCAAGCCAACATGAGTTCATTTTGTGACTAAGGTTTTGTGAGACCTCGTGCCCTCCCACGCCCTTATCTACAAAGTTCCTTCAGTAGAAAGACAGACGATGTAAATGGTATCGCCTCTGCCCTATTCTTGCTTACATTTTTCTTTTAATATTTATCTTGTTACCCAAGACGTCATATCATGCTAACTCTAACAATAACCTTTCAGTGCGTAAGTTTGCAAACATAATCACTTTTTTTTTTGAGTCAGGGTCTCACTCGACCACTCAGGCTGGAGTGTAGCGACACGAGCACGGCTCACTGCAGCCTCCAGCTCCTGGGCCCCGGTGATCTTCTATCTCATCCTCCCGTGTAGCTGGATTACAGGCACGTACCACCCTGCCTGGCTAATTTAAAAAAAATTTTTTTTGTAAAGACAGGGTCTCACTATGTTACCCAGGCTGGTCTCAAA